CCCTGCGAGAGCCTGATGCTGCAGGTCAGCTCCACTAACCCTCGCGAGGAGGCCATTGACACTGACCTCATCTGGGCCAAAATGCTGAGTTCTAAGGAGGCTGGGTAAGACAAGGCGGAAGGGAGGGGCTTCCCTTTTAAGGTTGGAGGAGGACAAAGTCCATATCCCGAGGAGCCCAAGAGAATCCAGCCCCTTGGCCTAGTGCATGTCAACTCATTAAATATTTCTCTGGTATTTTAAGAGTTGCCAGCAGAAAGGGAGGGGTGGGAAGGTAGTGCATTCCATCAATGTTTTCAAAGATAGTAACTAGGTGACTGAAGTTTCTGCTGCTGCAAAATTCTAACTGGAGAATATGACTCTGGGCTATGGAGGTGTCCCATTGGAGAATATGAATTATGATACACCCAGGGGGGCGGGGGAAAAACCAGGGTCGAGGGTGACAATGAATGATGTGTCTCAGAGTCGGCTACACCCAGATAGCACCGGCATGTCTACTCCTAATAAATCTTTTTTAAGCTCTGAAAGATCTGGCTAGAGGCTCATGATTTAAATAGAGGTGAATACCGGAGCCCCAACAGTGCTCTTGACTCCGATTAAGGACAGATAGTCCTCAACTTACGGCCACAGTTCAGCCGACATTTCGGTGGCTTGGCCGTTAAGTGAATTGCACCCCATTTTTTACGACCTTCCTTGCCGCATTTGTTCAGCGAATCACTGCCGTTGTTAAGTGAGCCCCACAGTTGTGAAGGGAATCTGGCTTCCCCACGGACTTTGCTTATCAAAAGGTTGCAAACGGGGATCACATCAATGCCAGCTGCCAAGTGTCTGAATTTTGATCACGTGACTGTGGGGGGATGCTACAACGGTCATACGTGTGAAAAAACATGCATAAGCTACTTTTTTTTCAGTGCCATTGTAACTTTGTCACTAAATTAACTGTCGTAAGTAGAGGACTACCTGTAGTTCACCACCCAGATCAGGGAGTGGAAGATGGGCTCTTCCCCTGGGGTGTTCCCTCAAAAGGAAAATCTGTTTCCGCAGACCTTTGCGTCAGTATTGTAATGATCTCCCCCCCACGGAAAAATATGTTCTCCCAAAATAATATCTCTTCCCCTACCCCAGTTGAAGACAGTCTACTGTAGGGTTTTACCAACACCTTTTGCCACACATGTGGATTAGTCCTAAGAAAAAGGTCACAATATTTGTTGTGTAATTCAAGGATCAGGGAAGCAGGACATGCCTCCATGATCCTGGTCAGCTTCCGCCCCCCCCAATAAACCATGACGAAATTGAAAAACATAATATATTTCTGGAAAATGTAGAGGATGAATGCCTAACTTCCAAGTCGGTGGAGATTCTCAGTCATCCAGGTCATGGTTGTCCCTTTTTCAAAAGGCAACTGGGTTTTCTTTGTTTTGTTTTTTTCCCCTTGAAGACGTTTCGCTTCTCATCCAAGAAGCTTCTTCAGTTTTGGCTAAAGAAGCTTCGTGGATGAGAAGCGAAACTGAAGAAGCTTCTTGGATGAGAAGTGAAACTTCTTCAAGCAAAAAAAAAAAGTCCAGTTGCCTTTTAAGAAAGCACCTTGGCGACCCCAAACTATCAAATAAGACTGAAAGCCACACCCAGTCCTGGTACCTTCCAGGTGGACTTTAACTCCCAGAATTCTTAGCAGGGGCCAAGATAGCTGTGGAACTGTGGGATTTGAAGTCCACACATCTGGAGATTGCCAAGGTTGGCAAACACTGGCCTGGATCTTTGTCTTTTTTCCCTTTTCTCTTCTCTCATCCCGTCCCCGCATTTTATTCCCATTTTTACTCTTCAGCTTCCTCATGGGAGCCTCATGTGGAGGAGGCAACATGAAAGTAGATGATGCAGCCTATGAAAGCATGGGTCTTCGCCCACGGCATGCCTACTCCATATTGGATGTACGAGATGTGCAAGGATACAGGTAAGCACAGCTACGCGGATGGTCCTGGCCCCTTTGCTCGTGGGCGGCTGGCTTGCTTTAAAATTAGGGGTATGTAGAGTGAGTCATTTTCAGTCTAGACGTTTGGCAGTTTGAATCTCACCGGCCTCAAGGTTGACTTGGCCTTCCCTCCTTCCGAGGTGGGTAAAATGAGGGCCTAGATTGTTGTGGGGCAAGAGGTTGATTCTGTAAACTGCTTAGACAGGGCCATAAAGCACTGTGAATCAGTATAGAAGTCTAAGTGCTATTGCCATTGCCCTTCCTTCCTTCCTTCCTTCCATCCATCCATCCATCCATCCATCCATCCATCCATCCATCCATCCATGGTGCACAGTGGTTAGAATGCAGAAATGCAGGCTAACTCTGCCAACTGCCAGCAGTTCAATCCTGACTGCTTCCAAGTGGACTCAGCCTTCCATCCTTCCAAGATGGGTAAAATGAGGACCCAGATTGTTGGGGGCAAGAGGCTGACTCTCTTCCTTCCTTCCTTCCTTCCTTCCTTCCTTCCTTCCTTCC